ATGAGTATAAGGGCTAGGATTGGGTTACAGATTTCATCTGGTCAAGGACATGAGCATTATAAAACCCACAGAACAGCAAACAAGGCTGGACTTATGGATACCTTTGAATAGAAAGGAGTGAGCTAACAGCGCCAACGTCGCAGTGACCCGCATTAGTAAAGGGTCAGGACCAGAGCAACCGTGTGTTTGCCGGGGGTTCGCATAGGAGTGGGCTCGCTTTGAGCTTGTTTGTTAAGTACAAAGGGTCGATTAAGCGGGGGGGAAACGAATAAAGGTGAAAATGTTCGAAAGGGATGGGCTCATTTGTGGAAGTTCAAAGGGGCTAATCGCGGCAGAAAGGGGCTTTTTTGGAGGATCCTCCGATAACTTGGTGATCAAAAAAGTAAGCATGGAGTGGTACGAAAGCATGAGGATGTTTATGCCGTTTCAAACAAAATTTATCTCACGCACTCTCTTAGTACCTTTGAAGAAATGTCGTGTGCGGAATGGCCTGCGGAGCAGGGTCAACCGTCCGTTGAACTGTTCGAAAAGGTCATTTTGTCGGAAGGGGGTCGCAATTTCGAGGACTGCCAGCCAGGCGCGTGCGTGGCGTATCCGAGGGCAAGAATTGCTTGTGCAGACCGCATTAGATTCGATTTATTATGCACAGAGAGACAGTTTTAGGCAAATTACAGTGTTTTCTTAAGGAATAAAGAACAGTTGGATGCATCCCTATGAAAGGTTTGACTTCTCGGGGCTGAAAACAAAGTTCTTTGGAGACCTATTTTTTGGGGACGCTTCTTCCAATGTACTGTGAAACATGTAAGGAAGCGGAAATCTCGTAGTCTTCACAAATGTCTTTATCCCTCTCCAACAAGCTCTTTGAAGGAAGTTATCATTGCTGAAAGCTCAAAAACTCGCATGTGCTGCTCAAAAACCCATGGGAAAAAATGTTCGAACGTGTGATTTTCTCGAAAATGAACTTTGAGAAAATGGTTTAGGGCTTGTTAGAAAGAGAAAAAATCCTGTACTTTCTTCCCATGAAAAAAATCACAGAATTGAAAATGAAGTGAGTTATGGCCGCTGAATCTCATAAAACCCTTTATGCTACGGAAAATGTCACGGAGACAATTTTTGAAAAAGGGGACAATCACTAAACTTTTTATACTATTTTGTTAGAGAAATATTTGAAGTTTCTGAAACTTTTTACAGATTTCCAAAATGTCGCATACGAAAGATTTTATGGGCCTTCAAAGTTGAAGGTGCGCCTTCTTAGAATTTTGGGTTTTCCACTTCTAACAGAAGTACTTTCCGGAGAGTTAGGCAATCCTTGTAGTTTTCTGAAGCGCACCTCAGGCACAATCAAAATCTACCTCAACAAGTCAAAAAGTACGTCCCAAGAAAGTTATTCCCCTCTAAAATTTTTTCTTCGCCGCGTCCCGTTCTTCCAGCGCCCGGGTGATACCTGCCGCGCTCCAAGGCTGACGCCGCAACGCAGACGCTTTCTGGCGCAACGGATTCATGTCTAGCACTCTTATTAACAAAAACAGGGGGTCGCAACTGGACCCCTCGAGAGCTAGGGGGTCGCAAAAATCCCGAAAATGTTCGAACGTGACGGTTGACCCTGGATCAGGAAGTCACTGCCAATTTCTTCATATATATCTTATCCGTAGTGTTAAGCCTAAAGAAGTGTTTCTGTACTGGCGGATAAAGAGAGCAGAATGTGCCCCAAAACTGGAGCTTTACCCCATTATCCATTATTCTCCTACCTTATCCGCCTGCTTTCCTTTTTTTCTAATATTCGATCATGTTGATGCTATCGCCAAAAAGCCCTGTAAAACCAGGATCGTCATTTCGATCCGAAGAATTTTTGCTGCTGCTATGAAGTCGCTATTCAATTTGTTATTAGAGGCGCGGGTCGCGATCGAATTAATATTTATTTAATATACGGCAAATTCCTTTTTGAGAAACGTGGCAGAATTTCTCAAGCACAACGTTCGTGCTCTTCGGCAATCTTCTTTGCACGTCTTGTTCCATTACAAAGCGCAATGGCACCAATTATAAGGAATCTTCCACGGAAAAGCTCCGCCCTCATTACCACAGAAAACGATACCTTAAAGGAATCTTCCACGGAAAGAGTGATCATTTTGTCTTGTGTGTAGGATTAGTATTATCGAAACTAACGCTTATGTTCCGTTCTTTTTGCTATGCTCATGAGGCTAGGGGCCTAAGGGGTATCGTTTTTCTGTGGTAATGGAGGCGGAGCTTTTTCCGCGGAAGATTCCTTTGAAATAAGGACAGAATATGCTGGCTCTCATTGTGGACCCACAAAGGTTCGTATAGTTTAGTTTTTCTCTTCGCGAGTTGCTTGCAGTTATTCTACAGATAACACCATGGCATAATTGAAAATGAAGGCTTGCGGTGTGGTCACATTTGCCTCAGTTTGGCAGAGGTTGTCCGAACCCTATGAAATCTAAAATTTCTGCTATTTAGTTCATGTCTCGCATATTTATCACTCAAGATCACGAGATGTTGTGCGTAAGTTGGCCGCGCCCCGTAATCTTGCGTCTGTCCCCACGCAGCCAAAAGCTCTATTACGCGCGCTCTTGTCAGGTGTCAAGAGAAAGATCCTAGATTCTCGATCAAAAAAGTTTCTTACTTGGAATAACCACAGGGTTTTATGAGCCGTTGTATGAACAGAGAATAACAACTCTTGAGCGCTTCCGCCTTTAGTCTTACCTATCAGTTGAGAGAAGAGTCAAAGGATGAGCCACTGAAGCAGCAGGGAGACTGAAACTCATTTCAAGCGCTCATTGCATGGCAATTGCATTAGACGACCCGTCGTAGAAGTGCTGTATGGTTCCTTAACTATTTTCGGTAGGAAGAGTGTCAGAGAAAACTGAACGCCTTCCATTTTCTGAGGGCTACTGCGTCAGTTTGCCATTGCACAGTGTAGCACTGAAGCGAAGAAGGTGGAAAGGGAGCAAAGTGCGGGTCACGCCCCTTGTTGTTGCAGTTCATCGACTCGGACAAAAAGAGATGAACAATACCATAAGGACCCTGATGGAAAAGCCGTAGTTACACCAAGCAGTAACCGAGGACAAGTTCATAAAACCTGTTTGTCTTATTCTGACTAGTCAATGAAACTGCACGAGCCTGGCGATAGGCTAAGTTGCATCCAATAATACTCTCAACGATGTCGATGAAGTGGGGGTTAGCACTCGTCAGCTTTATGTGTTCGGAGAATAGTGTGGCTATTCCGCTAGTCGTAACACTCCGGTGTGCCAGGAGGCACTCCCCTTGGTTGCTACTAGGGTTGACGACCATGAGGTCTTTTCTCGATCATAGATCGCTCAACGATTCATTCCAACGTGCAAATCCCCTATAAAGTCTTACGTCGGGCCGGCGATCCTTCAACATCTCGGTCGCTTTAGCACGACAGTTTTCACAAAACAGCCTACCTGTACGGGCCACTAACACCTAACTATTCTGGACAGCACACTCATATCTTAAGGTTCAAAGTCGGAAGTCTCCGAGGCATAACGAGGAAGGACAGCGGAATCGAAGAGGTGGGCACGGAGCCGGATGTTCTTCGTCTTCTTCACTACTCCCTCGATGTTCTTGTAATATCCTCCCCATGCGCTCGTTCCTCCTGCTCAGCTAGGGAGCTAGGTTTCATTGCACGGATTATCCCACCTAAGTACACATCCAGAGATTCTCCTTCCGGGGCATGAACAGGACATCGAGAACCAATCCGTTTCTTGTAAACATCGTCTTCATTAGGTGCAGCTGCGGGCCCTTCCACACGCGCATACGAAATCAGCAAGCCTTCTCTGTGCCAGCTGGATGTCAGTTTAAGTAAACGCGATGTTGTCAGTAAAGCAGATGGGGAGTGAGACCGCTGAGCTTCACCCCCATATCTACTCATCTTACGCTAAATGACGTACTCGATTGCTGAGTGGCTTGGACGAGAAGTACCGTCCTGTCTAACTCTCCAGAGAACCCGACACGAGGTACGTCGCGTGGCGAGAGGGCAGAGAAGAAGACTTGTCAGTCAGGACGAGTCACAGCGCGTACTGCAATGATTCCGCGTCAAGGTATATAGAATGAACTAGTACGACTCAAATCACGCAGCACGCGCTCGGGAGACGTTCAGTGCTCCTCCTGGGGTCAGGTCACCAGAGCTGCGCGATCATTGAAGCCTAAGGTTAAGCTTGGGTTTAGACTTAGGCTTAGGCTTATGCTTACACATTGGCTTATGCTTAAGCCTATGATTGGGCCTAGGCTTAGTCCTAAGCTTGCTTCGAGCAAATGGCTGGTGTCTCATTTTAGGTGACCTGACCTGAGGAGGAGAACTGCAACGCACCCCACGCGTTCGACTCGCTTCTCTGACTCGTCTGCGTCTCTGCCGTCTCGCTCCGTGACGGGCCTCTTGTCAGGCACCCAGTTCTTCATATCGACCTTGATTTTACGTAGAATGGTTGAGGCTTTGCAGAGCTTATAGCGAATCCTCATTACTAAATAGCATCTAGGGCAACTATTCGGGGTGTTGTGATAGGAGCACAATGTCTTCTAAGGTGTTCTTTAGCATTCCACATTTCACATAGAAGAACTGAATGACATTCTCAAGGCTATCAAGAGAGTTTCTCAGCAGCATAGCTAGCTACAAGAAATAATGCGCAAAGATATCGAAAAATCAACCTTTGCCCGTTTCCGCAAATAGCCCAGAGTTAGCCTCAATCTGCTGCGCTGCCACGTTTTAGTTTGGAGTTATACAAAACTAGATGAATCGAATTATTGTAGATTTATAGCTACGGCAACTGGTTACTATCCCATTGCAGGAAGATTAAAGTTCATGGGCTGGATAGTCCTATAATCCTTAGCTCCCACTGCGACATAGGGCAAACGAAACCATTCAGGAAAAGCGAAAGTGTAAAAAAGCTCAGAGAACCAATAATAAAGCCGTGAAACATGATTTGTATAATAGTTACCACATTACCGTTTAGCGCTACTTTTTCAGGTTTCCCAAGGCGGGCAGCGCCTACACCTACGCATATGTGGGCGTCGGCGAGCTATGGGCCTTTGTTATCGGTTGGAATATCATACTGGAACACATGCTGGGAGCCGCAGGTTTTCTTGTATCAACCTTTTCGAAGTAAACGTTGAAGGATAATCATATTTCAGCGGTAGCGCGCTCATGGTCCGGATATTTGGATTCACTGTTAGGAAACGTCATCTCCAACACAACCATAGAACGAGTCGGTCGCATTGAGGTGCTACCATAAGAACTTTGACTGCAATATCGTAACAACTCTTATTGCAAGGCCATTTCAGAACTCGTCCTTTTTTGGTGACTACCCGGACGTGGTTGCATTTCTGCTGATTGTCGTTGTTGGCATTTTCGTCGCCCTCGGCTCAAAAGTCTCAACAAACTTCAATTCCGTCTTCACCATTGTAAACATGGGCGTGAGTATTCCAGTCAGAGATTTTCTTTTCTAATCGCGATAAACGAATGCCGCGAAGATTTCGGAACACGTAGTTTCAAAGACATCGTTTTGGCGCTCGAGTTGAAGCAAACTTGTAACGAAGTCCTCATTAATGTATTCTATGGGATCATATAGAAATGTATATGGAAAAGCTGGGAGGAATTCGGCACTATTTACCCTTTACTGCCCCACTCCTCGAGAACTGAGCCGGGTTTTTATCGAAATTTGTCCATGACTGTGGATTTGGCTAGAAACTTGCCTTCAGGGGTAATTCGACCCGTAGAACACGAATATCACATTTTTACCGCTAGAACGCCTGGCGCTCGCGCCAGAAGCGCCGGCGCCAAAAGGCGCCAGAACATCTCGGATCACGAAATTCGCTGGAAACTTGTCTTCAGAGATACTTCGACCTGTGGCCGTAGCCTGCGCTACGGGCGCCCGCGCAAAACTGTTGTGATAGCGCCGGCGCCTGTGGCGCGGGCGCCAAGCGTTTTCGCGCTAAACCGGTGTGATATTCGTGTTCTACGGGTCGAAATTACCCCTGAACAAGTTTCTAGCCAAATCCACAGTCATGGACGAATTTCGATCAAAATCCGGCTCAGTTCTTGAGGAGGGGCAGGGCAGTAAAGGGTAAATAGTGCCAGGAATCCTTCATTAGCGAAAAGGGGTGTGATCTCATATCGGGTCACGCGGTCCTAAACGAGCTGTGAAGTGTGATTTGATATTGGGTCGCGCGATTTCACCAAGCCCCTGAAACATGGAGCAATACTATAGGACAAACCTTCCGTCAGTGTATGAGCTTATTGCTCGACTCACCATATGATCTCGGTGATCATAAGCGACTTCAATGAATATCGATACGATTTCAGGTGATAGTGCTTGTCGTTGGATACGGTATTACGTTCGCGGACTTCTCTTTATGGAGTGGCACTAACGAAGAGGGCGTGTCAAAGTGGGTATTTTTTTCCTCAGACAACCTAATTTCTCTTTTTTGTGATACAGTATCTCGAGAGCATGGTTCTCCTTTTGTATTTCGTTATGCACGAGGTCCACTTTAACCCTTTCGGCCCTGGCGGCGGCAATTGCGACCACCCAATCCAGGGGTCTGCATCACCAGAACAGCAACACTTTCTAGTATTACTCACTGCTAGCGTTCACTTCAGTCATTGTTTTTCCTTCCCTGTTTTTGTTGTTGTTGTTTTTGTTGTTTTTAATTGCTTTGAACCTGCCACTTTATTCGTGTAGGAAGAGATAAGAGCAATAAGAAGAAAAATTGTTCTTCACTGAAAACAGTTCAAGGTAGAAAAGGTTGAATTGTGCGATTCATTA